TGAGGAAATTGAGGGGTAAATACTCTCCTGACCCGGCTCTGTTCTATGGGTCGCTGGTGTTGATGTAGCAAAACCCTCTCAACGTTGCCATTGAACTTGGCACACATCTGGTCCGTTTTTCCCCGAGGGTTTCCATCTATGCCCCTCGTTTCTTTCCTCAAAGTCTGCCAGAGAGTTAGTACCCTTGGACTTTTCTTCTCTCAGAGAGAACAGTATAATGTGCCTTTTACACTTCAAGAACTGGAGGCAACGCTCTCAGCTTCCCGATCATCGGCAGCTGGGCCTGACGACATTCATATTCGTATGTTAAAAACATTTACATCGGTCAGCCCTTATAGTCCTCTTACACCTCTTCAATCTTATTTGGGCACAAGGAGTTTTTCCCCCAGCTGTGGAAATCTGCCATTGTTCTCCCTTTCCGCAAACCCCGGGTACTACAGGACATGATGCCTTCCACTATCGCCCCATCGCTCTTACTAGTGCATTTTGCAAGTGATGGAACGTCGCGTAAATCAACGTTTAAATGTGGTATTTAGAGACACACAACAGTCTCTCCGCTAGTCAATATGGCTTTCGAAAGGGGTTTCTTTTCTACCATAGACCCCTTACTACGCTTGGATACGTATGTTCGTAATGCCTTTGCGAATAATCACTCAGTTATTGCATATTTTTGACCTTGAGAAGGCATATGACACAACTTGGAGGTATAATATTTTGGCCCAGGCCCATTCCTTAGGCCTCCGAGGCAATCTACCATCCTTCCTTAAAAACTTTTTAACTGACAGACATTTCCCGTGTTCGAGTCAATAATGTTCTTTCCCCGGACTTCGTCCAAGCTGAAGGTTCCCTAGGGATGTGTTCTAAGCACAACACTTTCTCCTTGCTATAAATGATTTGGCCTCTTTTTCTTCCACCCAATATTTGGTCATCACTCTATGTTGATGACTTCGCTATTGCTTGTGAAAGGCGTGACTGTCATCTTTTTGCAGTTTCTCCCAGCATGCGGTCGACCGTGTTTCCACTTGGGCCACCACGCAGGGGTTTTAAAATTTTTCAAGTACCAAAATCACCAAATTACTTTCACTAGACGCTCTGTTATCTCCGATCATCCTTTGTATCTCTATGCTCCCGTATCCCCGAACGTGATACAGCAGGTTTCTGGGCCCCTTCTCTTGACCGTCGGTTATCCGGGAAAACCCTCACTTTACCTCTCTGAAGGCAACTTGCCCACAGCCGGCTAAACCTTCTTAAAACCCTTGCTCATCCTTCCTGGGGAGCTGATCGTCAAAACTTTTGCTTCGCTACATTCACCCCTCGTTTTATCAAAAACTCGTTTTATGGTGACCAGTTTTTATTCCGCGGCCTCTCCTGCTACTCTCTCTAGCCTTAACTCTATCCATCACCAAGGATTACGTTTGTGCCTTGGTGCTTTTCGCTCTTCCCCTGTTGAGAGCCTCTAACAGAAGCGAATGTTCCATCCTTGTCTGATCGCCGTGATGCCATTGCCTCGCTACTATGTACGCTCTCACGATCTCCCACAACCCTTTCCCATTTATAGAATGGTCACCGATATTAGTAGACATTCTTTATTCGTTCGCCGCCCGTTTGCTCCGCCCCCTTTTCTCTTCGCCTACATTCACTCTTGTCTTCCCTTCAGTTACCACCTTTATATGTTCATTGTAGCATCTCACTTTTCCCCTACCCCCCTGGGAAGTTCCAGCTGTTCGGGTCTGTTCTTTCTAAATCCTTGCTCGAAAGCTCAACTGCCTACGGTGGCTTCCCGCTCTCTTTTTCTTGATCACTTCCACTCCCCATTCTCATGCCACCGTTGTGTACACAGATGGCTCTAAGTCTTCAGACGGGTCGGATTCGCAGCAGTTTTTCCGGACAGCGTCGTGCGGGGCATTTACTATCTTCAGCAGCATTTTACTGCTGAACTGTATGCCATTCTTACAGCACTTATTCGTATCGCATCTATGCCTGTGTCATCATTTGTAGTAGTCTCGGGACTCCCTTAGTGCTCTACAGGCTTACGAAAATTTGTACATCTCATCCCCTAGTTCTCCGTATCCAACTTTGCTATGCTGTATCACTACCAAACATAAAGATATTGTTTTTTTTTTGGGTCCCTGGTCATGTCGACTTTACAGGGCAATGAACGGGGCAGCCCACTGCTGCGCGGTCAGCAGTACATGACCTACCAATTTCCCTATCGAGGTGTTCCTTTTCTGGACTATTTTGCTGCAATAGCTACCCACCTTGCACCCCTTGGCAAAACTTTGGGTTTCAACTCTGATCGGTAACAAACTTCTTATTAAACCGAGCATTAGGTTACTGGCCGTCTTTTTGTCATCAGTGCCGAGGTTGGGAGACCACTCTCTCCCGCCTTCGCATTGGTCACACTCGATTTTACTCATAGGTATCTCAGGAGAGGCCCACCTGTTCCTCTCTGTGAGCAGTGTCAAGTTCCAGTACAATTAGCCACATTCTGTTAGACTGCCCTCTCTACCCAACGAGCACGCAGAATTTACCTCCGTCGTCGTCTTCGTTCTACTACTCTCTCTTTACCTTCCCTTCTTGCTGATGGACCCTTCTTTAATCCTGACTTTCTCATTGACTTCTTGACAACGACTGATTTACTCCACAAACTCTGATGATACTTTTCGCACTCCCCTCAGCCCTTTCTAGTTCAGTCTCTTGCTGCCCTTTACCCTTTCACCATCCACTACCCCGCTGTTATCCGTAACCTATTACTCATCCATCTCCCTTTTGCCACCTGATGCCCTCGCTTCCTTCCTGCCCTGCAGCGCTGTATAGTCCTTGTGGCTTAGCGCTTCTTTTTGATTATAATAATAATTTGGACAGATTTTTAGTAAAAGTCAAACCTAGTGAGCTTCAACCAGGTCTAAATAGGGAAGAGAGACAGAAGAGAGAAGGGGACTCTCCTTCCAAACAATAACATTTCCTCTTCCTCCCTTCTCAGCACTATCCTAGTAGGCAGTCGACTTTTCAGCAAAGTGAGGTTAAATTTGCATTTCATCTAATTCTTTTGTATTTATATATGTATTTTAGTAATAAGCAATGTTTAAATTACATATTTTAGTATTAAGCAGTGTTTAAATTATTTTATACAAACCCATCAATGTATATGCCAATAACAATAGGATTTTTTTTTTCATGGGAACGGATTAATTGTTTTCCCTATACGTATTTCTTATGGGAAAACTTGTTTGGTATACGTCATGTTTGGTACAAGTCCATGGTCCTGGAACGGATTAAGGACATATACCAAGGTACCACTGTATTGGGTACTAATGTAGTACTCATATAGTCACAAACACACTGACAGGTGCTTGGTCACATACTATTATCTAGAAATATACACATAGTATTTATAGGTCGCAGGAATGTTTTAGACATGCTAGGGTACATAAGAAGCATGGTGTAAGACTAGTGTCACTCCACTGCTGACAGTGCAGCAGTGGAGTGACATTTGATGATCGTGCACTGCCTTGGCTACATTTGTTTTCACATGTTACACATAAACATGTCTGTCTGTCTGTCTGTCTGTCTGTCTGTCCGTCCGTCCGTCTAGTTCTCCCTGTTTATCTGTCTCTGCTTATCTGTCTTTCTGTTTGTCCCTTTCTGTCTCAGGAGAGCCACTCGTGAACCAACAGGTATTACACACGATGCAGAGTAGTCACGTCTGATTCTTGAACAAGTGAAAATACGTATTACTTGCCAGTCATGCTTATTATGCATTAGATCTACAAGCACAGTATAGCACTTTGGATTTTTTGGGTTATCCTAGGAAATTTACACTATGTATAATTGTATTTATGTGTACCTGTGAGATAGAGACAGAGATAGACACACAGACAGATACACAAACAAGACACAGAGACAACCAAAGTCAATCAGCCAGCTACCCAGCTGCCGGCCAGCCAGCCTGCCGAACACATATTACACGTTCCAGAATAGTTTCTTTTTTGCCAGCCAGCCAGCATGTATTACACGTTCCAGAATTGTTTCTCTTTACTTAGGACAGATTATAGGACATTCTAACACTAACAGTGGCACCAAAATTGAAAGGATGTTGTACAAATGTTTCACATGGGTTATCATCAAGGTTTTTGATATTCCCTCAACCACTTATGGCCACATCCACCTCAAAGCCACTAAACTCGGGGGTCAACATCACTTTCCTCTTAAAATGGGAGTAATATATGACATGACATCAGTGAATCCCCGGTTTTTTCCGCACTGTTTGCTCAAGCTGGCACTCAATCGAACTGGTGCTCCCACAAGGTACTAAGTGGTCACAGATTTTTTAATACTGCGCAGACTGAGTGTTGAGACCCATTCTATGTTGACCAGACATCTCTAGCCAATCGTGCAAAATTTGGAGGCAGGAAAAATAAAACGATCTACGTTTGGAGTGCTAGCGGTAACAACATAGATCTACGTTTGGACAGTTAAGGGGGGATGAATCATTTCACTGTCCTGACCCCAAAAATTAATACTACTTTCAGTGTCCACTTAAAAAAAAAAAATAATTCTTCAGAAATGGCAAAGAATCTTTCTCTGAAGGTAATGACATCAAAACTTAGGGAAAAATTTTGGAATTACACAGCAAAAATAGCAGTCTTGGCACAATTTATGCATTGGTGATTTCGTCCACTTTTTCTATTTTAAGCCAATTCCACTGCCCCATTCAACCAATTTCTTAGTTATTTCACTAGTTTGCCTTCCATTCCATGACTGAGCACAAGTAAATCACCCATTCGACTACCCTATAAAGTACACAGAAGCCTGTAATTTGGTCAACTGAGGTGAATAGATACGAAAAACTTATTAAATGCAACATCATTAATTTTAAATATGAAAATAAACTGATGGGAAACCCACAGAGGTTTATGTAGCTAGGTAACTTATATCCATAATTCCTGTAATTATATGTGGAAAACCAATATATCCCTTGGCACAATTTAAAGTCAATATACATGACAAATTTTATTTTACAAACCCTTCATTACCATAGTATAAAAAATATAAAAACAAATACAATCTAAGATTACTACAACCTTTAATGAGTTATCATGATTAAGTAGATATGATCATTTTTGTATTGTTCACTCATCACTTGCCTCACAATAGGCACAGTAACACTGATAAATCATGGGAGATTCTATAAAAACTATTACTCTAAATTTACAGATAAAAAAATAAAGCAGCCACATTTAAGAAAATTATTTCTTTTAGCTTTCTTTTTAGTTTGCTGTTTTACTCACTGCTAACACCCAAGATTTCAATCTTCAGTGAAATAAAAATTTATCAATGTGTATAGATTACTGACCATTACAGTATATAAAAATCTAACATTTATTTAGGCATTAAATAAATAGGATCTGGAGATAATTTCTTAGGCACTTAAATACAGTAACTATTATAAGAGTACATGAACTAAATAATGGCTAATAAATAAGAGTAATATTTGTTTACATTAAATTAGTATTTAAACCATATTTAATTTCACAAAAACTTTCACAATTTACAAACACAATGAGAATCGCAATGAGTAATATTTGATTACATTAGTATATTATTTACACAATCCTACTTAAATATTTTTTATAAAAATACTTTTACAATTCAAAGGCAAAAACAATAAGGAACAATTATGTTTGTTGTTACTGGCAGGAGATTCACTTCTTTATAACAATCAGGAAGATCATTCATGCTTTAAATTATTACTTTAGCTTTAAAATTCCAAAATATAATACACATGTGAATTCAACAGTGTGAGCTGATATAAATTATTGTAGCTATTTTGTTCTGTAAAAATGAAGTTTTCAAGTTATCTTGCAATTTTGGGGAACAAAATAAGAGATAAATCAGAAGATAATTTTTGAATACCTTATCTCAGGACTCAGCAAGACTGCAACATGATCAGAGGAGCAAGCATTGATAGCCCTCCTATTATATGCACATCTCAGCACCCATTGACCAGAAACCTGATAAATAATGTAGCAGCTTTAATGGGGCATTCTGTAAATCCTGCTCTGCAATACTGTGCAACTTGTCCTCCTATGTTTGTCAATCATGAGTGATAAAATTAATGTTTTTTTTATCATACTGGCCATCTCCCACTGAGGTAAGGTGATCCGAAAGAGAAACAATTTCACTCTCATTCACTATCATTGTCTTGCCCGAGGCGTGTAGATACTACAGTTCAGATGCCCTTCCAAAAATGCAAATATTCTACCTTTCTTTAGAGTACAAAGACTGTACTTACCACTTCCAAGACTCAAGTCCTGCTACTTGGTTTCCCTGAAACCCCTTCACAAAATGTTACCTTACTGACACTCCAACAGCTCTCTGGTCCCAAAAAACATTTGCCTTCACTCCTATTTAAAAAAAAAAAAAAAAAAAAAAAAAGCCCCAAAACACACACACACACACACCACAAACATGCCTGCTGGATGTCCAAGCCCCTCCTCCATCCTTTCCTAGGGTGACTCATACTCCTATCCCACCCTTTCCCCTTTTCTACAGATTTCTACACCTTCCAATTCCAAGTCATACTATTTGCTCCATCCTCTGTAAATGACCAAACCCCTCAACACTCTCTCCTTAGCCCTATGCGTAATATTATAGTAAACCCCCCAAACTCAACTGAATCTCTAAGCCATGAATTCTCTGCATATTTCACCACACACTGCCCTCAGACATGGCATCTCCACTGTCTCCCCGTTGCCTCCTCACTGCAACATTCATAACCCATTCTTCACACCCATACAAGAGTACTGGTAAAACTATACTCTCATACATTCCTCTTTTTTTGCCTCTATGGATAATGTTCTTGTTGCACAGATGCCTTAATTCACCACCCACCTTTTTCTTCCCCTTATCAATTCTATGGTTCACCTTGTTTTCCTAACCCATCTGCCAACAAGTCCACTCTAAAATATCAGAAGACATTCACTTCCTCCATACTCCTCCTTCCAATCTAATATTCAATCTTTCATTTCTAAACTTGTTTGTTACCTCATCACCTTGCTCTTTCCTATGTTTTACTTTTAATTTCCTTCTTTTATATGCTCTCCCAAATTTGTCCATCAACCTTTGCAACTTCTCTTCATAAAACTCCCAAAAGCAGTGTCACTGGTTTAAAATTCAACTGTAAAACCCACTTTGTATTTCAATCTTTATCTTTTAATCCTACACCTCTCCCCAACACCATAGGATTTACTTCTTTTACAAACCCCCTCGATAAATATGTTAAACAACCATGGTGACATCATGCACACCTGTTGAAAACCTACTTTTACAGGGGAAAATAAAATTTCCCTAACTATATACCCTAACCTGAGCTTCACTATTCCTCATAAAGACTCTTAATTGCCTTAAGTAATCTACCCACCTATTCCATATACTTGCAACATCTACCACATTGCTTCCCCATCCACCCCATTAAGTGCATTTTCTAAATCCATGAATGCAAAAGAAGCATTCCCTACCCTTCCTAAAATCTCCTTGTTCAAACAGAAGACAATTCAGATGGGTATGTATACATAAATTTTGTACTTGCATGTGTAGTGTGACCAAAATGTAAATAGAAGTAGCCAAATGTACCTGTTATCTTGTGTATTTATGAGGGAAAAGGGAAAAGACACCAGCACTGTGTAAAACAACTACAGGTTTCCATTTCACATACACACACGGCATTTTCTCATGTTTGCAGGGGGGAAAACATGTTTAAACACATTTAATATCATAAGAAACCAGTATGTTACTAAATTTAAAGAGATAAACTTTCGTTTTTCTTTTTGGGCCACCCCGCCTCGGTAGGATAAGCTGTTTGTGAAGATAATAGTACGTAGTAGTTACCATTTATTGCTTTTCTGGAATGTCTCGCATGAATGTGGTTGTATACTGTACAGCTGAGAAGCCAATCTGGATAGTAGCTCCCACTACAAAGGGTTGCATCTTTATTTCCTCAAATATTATTTCCCTGGCTTACCCTCCTCTTCATTATGTGGTAATTTCAGAAGTATTCATCTCCAGTCTTTATCTATTACTAATCCTAGAATAAACCCCCTATACTACTTTAATTTTCCATTCTCCATGTAAACTCTGGCATAAACTACCACTATCCTTTCTGAAACCCTTCCTCTCCGAACTGTTCAAGAGGCATTTGTAGAATTATTCTATCTTCACAGTTACAGGCAATGTTTTGTATATTTTCCTTAAGTATTATCAAATCATCTGTTATGTAAAAGTAGCTATGCAATACCAGTGGAATGAACCGTTAACATTTGAAAGATTAAATTATGTACACTAACCTATAGATGTGACAATTGGTCCAATTGCTCTTGCCAAAGCTCCTAAAGATCTCCAAATGCCCAACAGAGTTCCTTTATGGGATTCTGAGCCATGACATGATGCTAATGTGGTGAGACATGGTACCATCATAGAGGAACCTGTTGGAATAGAAACTCTTATAACCCTTAAACTGTCCAAACAAATTTACGTTCACATGTGTAGTGCTCCAAAAGTAGATCTATGTTTTTTTACATATTTTCAAATATAACAAAAAAAAAAGTAGATCAAAGTTTTTTTTACATGTTTTCAAATGCAAAAAAAAAAGAAAAGAAGATCTACTTTTTTTTACATACTTTCAAATGTTGAATAAACGTAGATCTACGTTTTGCCAATGTAATGACAGTGCTTTCTGTCTTTCTTAATACAGCACTGCAAGTGGGAATTACTGGGTACTATGAAGGATTTATGTATCTCTGTCTAATATTTAACACATCAATGTACTACATGAGAAAAATTTGCATAGGAATCACCATTCATTCATAAATGTTACACAAAAATCTGAAGTGGTAAAATATGGCTAACAATGGGTTATGCTAATTGGCAGATTATACATATTACTTAAACTGTTAGGATATATGTAAAAACTACCAATTTAATAGCTCTAACTTACTTACCTAGAGCATAGAAAGTCAATCCTGTATAAAGGCCCCAGTTTGTCTCACTGGCACCAATTAAAATGAAGGCGGGAATCATCATCATCAGGCCCTACAATATATATCCATTGTGACAGTGATGCGTAAATGTAATTTTACACTAATTTAAGAAATATTAAATAGCCACATTTATTTTAAAAATATTTTTAATACAAGGTTAAAGAATACATAACATTACTTATTAACCCGTAAACGATCCAAACGTATATATACGTTTTTTCAACATTTGAAAGTATGTAAAAAAAAGTAGATCTTCTTTTTGTTTTTTTACATTTGAAAATGTGTAAAAAAACTTAGATCTATTTTTTTTTTGTTATATTTGAAAATACGTAAAAAAAACGTAGATCTATTTTTGTAGCACTACACATGTGAACGTAGATCTGCTTGGACCGTTTACGGGTTAATACTGAGAAATTAAGATGTACAGTTGATAAATTAGACACGTGCAACACTTGGGTATCTTTATTGAGGAAACGTTTCGCCACCCAGTGGCTTCATCAGTCCATACAAAGGAGAACGTTGAAGAACAGGGGGAGTTTGAGGTAATCAGTCCCTCAGCCTTGAGTCGATGTGGTCAGTCCATCAATCTTGAAAAGAATACAGCATATCTGCAAAGACACATCAACTCAAGACTGAGGGACTGATTACCTCAAACTCCCCCTGTTCTTTAACGTTCTCCTTTGTATGGACTGATGAAGCCACTGGGTGGCGAAACGTTTCCTCAATAAAGATACCCAAGTGTTGCACATGTGTCTAATTTATCAACTTGTCGGTTCTCTGAACCATTCATCTACAAGATGTACAGTACCTTGTTTGCCATGGCTTTTTCACTGCCATTTTTGACACGTCGCACATAACCTCCCTGCATTAGGGCCATTACAAGTCCTAAAAAGGAGAACATGCGGCCTTGTGCCATGGAGTCATAGCTGTGTTTATGATGGGTCACAAATGTGAGGGTAAACTCCAAGCCAGAGTAGAGAAACAGGTATATAAAATACACTCGTCCCAGCTGAATCAACTTTGCTCTTTCTGAAAGTCAAACACAGTAACTTCCCTAGGTTAATGCATATATTTATTATTCTATATAAAAACAAATCAGAAAATACCATCAGTTACAGTATTAAAAATATTAGTTATTACAAAACTTTAATGTTCCACTAGTTAGATTCATAACTGGATCACTGTTGCTATAATTATACATTTGTTTTAATGCCCGTTTAACCCCTAAACTGTGGGATACCTGGAAAAAAAAAAATTCCTGTGTGGGAGGAAAGTGAAAAAATAGTTCCTTTTTTTTTGTTCTTATAAAATGAAAGTGTGCATTTTTCCCTGGATCAAATAAGACTAAAATTATAAAACTTACAATTTATGATATGCTGAAGTTGGTGAAAAAATGATCACTCGTTGGCAATAGTGGCATAAATGTGCCAGTGATATTTACATTTTATAATTTACCAATGTCAATTTTATGATTTTTTAATTGCTTTTAATATTTAACACTATGTACACTAGTTTCTTATGGTATTAGTATTTAAAGATATTTTAGCACTTCAAAATTGGGTAAATGTTTAGCCAGACATTGCTCTATATGTAATAGTATACAGTACATAACAGAGTATAGGTAGTAGGTTGGTAGACAGCAACCACCCAGGGAGGTACTACCATCCTGCCAAGTGAGTGTAAAATGAAAGCCTGTAATTGTTTTACATGATGGTAGGATTGCTAGTGTTCATTTTTCTGTCTCAAACATGCAAGGTTTCAGGTACGTCTTGCTATTTCTATACACTTAGGTCACACTACACATACATGTACAAGCATATATATACAGACCCCTCTGGATTTTCTTCTATTTTCTTACTAGTTCTTGTTCTTGTTTATTTCCTCTTGCCTCCTTGGGGAAGTGGAACAGAATTCTTCCTCTGTAAGCCATGCGTGTTGTAAGAGGCGACTAAAATGCCAGGAGCAAGGGGCTAGCAACCCCTTCTCCTGTATATATTACTAAATGTAAAAAAGAGAAACTTTCGTTTTTCTTTTAGGGCCACCCCGCCTCGGTGGGATACGGCTGGTGCATTGAAAGAAAGATCAGAGTGAGTGAGATTCTGTCAATAAATTTTGCTGAGAATAAGAAAAAGTTTTGAAGTGAAATTAATAGGTCGAGAAAGCCTAGGAAACGAATGGATTTGACAGTTAAAAACAGAAAAGGGGGGTTATTAGATGATGAGTTAGAGGTATTGGGAAGGTGGTAGGAATATTTTGAGGAACTGTTAAATGTTGATAAAGAAAGGAAGGCAATGATTTCAGGCACTGGCCAGGTAGGTACATCCTTTAGGATGAAGAGCCAGATATGAGAGTGGTGGAGGTGCACAAGTCAGTGAGGAAAATGAAAGGGGGTAAAGTAGATGGGACTGATGGGATCATGAGAGAAATGTTAAAAGCAGACGGAGTGGTTGGTACTTTCGTTGAATAAATGTATGAAAGAGGAAAAGGTACCTAGGGACTGGCAGTGTGTGTGCGTAGCACCTTTGTATAAAGGAATAGGGGACAAGAGTAAAACTTACAGGGGGAATAAGCCTACTGAGTATACCAGGTAAAGTGTATGGTAGAGTTATTACTGAAAGAATTAAGGGTAAGGGAGAGAGCAGTATTGTAGAAGAACCTGGAGGCATGTAAGTGAACAATATTTAGATAAAGATAAGGAAGTTTTCATACCTTTCATGGATTTAGAAAAGGCATATGATAGGAGAATTGTGGAGCAATGTGGCAGATGATGAAAGTGTATGGAACAGATAGTAAATTAATAAATGCTGCAAAAAAGTTTTTGTAAGGATAGTGATGCTCAGGTTAGGGTATGTAGGAGAGGGAGATTACTTTCCAGTAAAAGCAGGCCTTAGGCAGAGATAGGTAATGTTACCATGGTATTAACATATTTATAGATGGGCTTGTAAAAGAAGTAAATGATAGGGTGTTGGGAGCAGGGTGGGATTAAAATATGCTGAATCCAATACAAAATGGGAGTTGGCACAGTTATTTTTGCTGATGATATGTGCTTTAGGGAGATTCTGAAGTGCAGTTGCAAAGGTTAGTGGAGGAGTTTGGAAGGATGTGTAAAGGAAGTTGAAAGTCAACATAGATGAGGGTACCAAATGAGTTAGGAAATGAAAATTTAGATACGAGATTGGAGGGAGGAAGTATGAAGTGAATGTGGTTAGATATTCGGGAGTGGATGTGTCGGCGGATGGGTACATGAAAGATGAGGTATACAACAGAATTGATGAGAAAAAGAAGGGTGTTGCACTGAGGTATCTGAAGTCAAAGAACATTACCCATGGAGGCAAAGAGGGGAATGTATGAGTGTATAGTGGTACCAGCACTCTTATGTGAAGCATCGGTGGTAAATGCAGCAGCGAGGAGACGGTTGGAGGCAGTGGAGATGTCCTGTCTAAGGGCAATGTGTGGTTTTAAATATTATGCAGAAAATTCGGAGTGTGGAAATTAGGAGAAGGTGTGGAGTTAATAAAAGCATTAGTCAGAGGGCAGAAGAGGGGTTGTTGAGGTGGTTTGGTCATTTAGAGAGAATGGATCAAAGTAGAATGACATGGAAAGCATATAAATCTATAGGGGAAAAAAAGAGGGGTAGGGGTTCGTCCTCGAAAGGTTGGAAAGGGGGGGGTTAAAGGAGGTTTTGTGGGTGAGGGGCTTGGACTTCCAGCAAGCGTGCATGAGGTGTTTAGATAGGAGTGAATGGAGACGAATGATACTTGGGACCTGACGATCTGTTGGAGTGTGGCAGGGTAATATTTAGTGAAGGGATTCGGGGAAAACCCGGTTATTTTCATATAGTCGGACTTGAGTCCTGGAAATGGGAAGTACAATGCCTGCACTTTAAAGGAGGGGTTTGGGATATTGGCAGTTTGGAGGGATATGTTGTGTATCTCTATACTTATATGCTTCTAAACTTTTTATATTCTGAGCACTCTGCAAAAGCAGTGATAATGTGTGAGTGTGGTGAAATGTTGAATGATGATGAAAGTATTTTCTTTTTGGGGATTTTCTTTCTTTTTTTTGGGTCACCCTGCCTCGGTGGGAGACGACCGACTTGTTGGGAAAAAAAAAAAAAAAAAAAAAATGAAGAAAGAGATCATTGCTAAGTATGAAAGTGGAGTGCATGTCTCCGAGCTGGCCAGGCTGTACACAAAACCCCAATCAACCATCGCTACTATTGTGGCCAAGAAAACGGCAATCAAGGAAGCTGTTCTTGCCAAAGGTGCAACTATGTTTTTGAAACTGAGATCGCAAGTGATAGAAGATGTTGAGAGACTGTTATTGGTATGGATAATCGAAAAACAGATAGCAGGAGATAGCATCTCTCAAGCGATCATATGTGAAAAGGCTAGGAAGTTGCATGACGATTTAATTAGAAAAATGCCAGCAACTAGTGGTGATGCGAGTGAATTTAAGGCCAGCAAAGGTTGGTTTGAGAGATTTAAGAATCGTAGTGGCATACATAGTGTGATAAGGCATGGTGAGGCTGCCAGTTTGGACCCAAAAGCAGCTGAAAAATATGTGCAGGAATTCAAGGAGTACATAGACAGTGAAGGACTGAAACCTGAACAAGTGTTTAATGGTGACACTGACAATGTTGTGAAACACTTTAAGAATGTCATAAAGGAACGGGAGGTACAGGCCTCTATGGGCAGATATGTTGTGCGACAGAGGTCCAGTGACTCTCAAGCTGGTCCTAGTGGCATTAAAAGAAGGGAAGTAACCCCGAAAAAGGACTTGCCACCTCAAGTCCTAATGGAAGGGGATTCCCCTTCTAAACACTAAGACCATCAACACACTCCCCTCTTCCCATCCCATCAATCATCACCAGATCTTCAATAAAGGTAAGTGTCATGTAACTGTGCATGTCTTCTTCAGTTTGTGTGTATTAAAATTAATATTTCATGTGTTAAATTTTTTTTTTTCAATGCTTTTGGGTGTCTTGCATGGATTAATTTGATTTCCATTATTTCTTATGGGGAAAATTAACTTGACTAACGATGAGCTCTCAGGAACGGATTAATAGCGTTAGTCGAGGGTCCACTGTATATATTCTTTCTTTCAACAAACCGGCCATATCCTACCAAGGCAGGGTGGCCCCAAAAGAAAAACAAAAGTTTCTCTTTTAAAATTTAGTAATTTATACAGGAGAAAGGGTTATTAGCCCCTTGCTCCGGGCATTTTAGTCACCTCTTACAACACGCATGGCTTACAGAGGAAGAATTCTGCTCCACTTCCCCATGGAGATAAGAGGAAATAAACAAGAACAAGAACTAGAAAAATAGAAGAAAACTCAGAGGTGTGTATATATATGCTTGTACATGTATGTGTAGTGTGACCTAAGTGTAAGTAGAAGTAGCAAAAGACACCTGAAATCTTGCATGTTTGAGACAGACAAAAGACCCCAGCAATCCTACCATCATGTAAAACAATTACAGGCTTTTGTTTTACACTCACTTGGCAGGCAGTAGTTCCTCCCTGGGTGGTAGCTGTCTACCAACCTACTACCATATAAGAAAACTGTCAAAGTGGGATGTCTGAATGTGCGTGGATGTTGTGCGAATGAGAAGAAAGAGATAAATGTGGATGTTATGAATGAGAAGCTGGATGTCCTAGTTTTAAGTGAAACAAAGCTGAAGGGGGTGGGAGAGTTTCAGTGGAGAGAAATAAATGGTATTAGGTCAGTGGTTTCAAATAGAGTTAGAGCTAAAGAAGGAGTAGCAATAATGCTGAAGGATAAACTATGGCAGGAAAAGAGGGAGTATAAATATATCAATTCAAGGATTATGTGGAGTAATATAAAGGTTGGATGTGATGTGAAAAGTGGGTTACAGTAAGCATATATGCACCTAAGAGAGAGAGAAGAGAGAGAGAAGAGAGACGAAGAGAGAGCGAAGAGAGAGCGAAGAGAGAGCGAAGAGAGAGAGAAGAGAGGAGAGAGAAGAGAAAAGAGAGAGAAAAGAAGAAAAAGAGAAAGAGAGAAGAAA